TCGAGAGCGTTCATTGGGCAGGATGAGCTGCAAAAAAAAAACATGCCTATGACAAATTGACAGAATGCACTGATAAGGACGACACTCACCCAACACAGTACCTTGAGACCTCATCCATTTTTGACAATTACTAAACTAGTTAACACAACTGAGAAACTTCTTTCACACTTACTTAGCAATTGGTCAAATACAACATGTTTGATTTGCTGCGTTTTCGTCCGCACACTAACGTTCGTTCCGCCAACTCATAATCGCACACATTCGTTCCGCCACCTAATAATCTTAGCCATGAATCTAAGCGAACAAAGCTTATCCACGACGCTTAGCGGACACGGCATGGCCATTAGCCTTAGCGACCAGAACTTAGCCATTCACTTCGTAAACCTATTGAGACGAACCCTTCTCCTGCCATACCGCTTAATTAAAACGCCACCTCGTAGTTTCATGACCACAAAGCCCTCCTGGTACATCCCTCAGCCTTTCACTTCACAGCATATCTTCCTGGCGTTGGCGCAAAGACACGACTTTCTTCCAACGTCATCTTATGCACGGTCTGGAGATGGATCCTCAAGTCGGCCACCCTGTTGGACACCTTGCCGCAGAGCCGGCAGGTGGTGAAGCCCATGTGGACCTTGCGGTGATGTCCAAGAGAATTGACGTTACGGTAACGCCGACCACAGATATCACAGGGATGGCCGCCTGAAAAAGAGTTAGTGTTGTCACACACTGAACAAACATTGTCCACGGCGTGGTTCGGAACTTAGAAAGGGTTTCAGAGCGACTTGACAGATATGCTTTCGAAGAACAATGTGCAGGACAATACGCAATGTAAGAGATATACGCTTCAATAAGAGACTGAACTTAACTGTTAGAGCTCATGAATTCGACTGAAATGCAAGGCTAGGGTGGGAAATTCTAGTAAGCGTTTGCAGGCGCGGATACAAGGGGGGGCCATGGGGGCCATGGCCCCCCCCCCCTTGGCCGATTTTTTTCAAAAATAAAATAAAAAGTTAAAAAGTTAAAAAGCTGAAAAGGGGGCCTCCTGAAAATAAAGTGGCCGAAATCCGATGAGTTTTTTTTAACCTACCCACTTAGTTATTTCTTAGAAGACTAGCTGAGAGGACTTCTTTGTTAGAAGATTGGTAAAGCTTTTCATAACTTGGAGGTCTCTTATACTCACAGAGATGACCACTTTTACAGGGCCTCCTAACCTGCACAGAGGGCCTCCAAGCCTGCACAGATGTTGAGATGTTGCCTGAACAGCTAGATAAGCTCAATAGACGCAGTTTTTTTTTGGGGGGGGGGCCCAACAAGTGGGAAGATGGGGCCTCCAACAGGTGGGATTATGGGGGGGGGGGCCTCCTGGTTTCTAATGGCCCCTCCCTTGGAGATTTTCTGGATCCGCCCCTGAGCGTTTGATACTTTGTTTAAAAGGCTAAGAATTACCGTCGCTTAACTGACGCGTACAATAACGTACTGTGTTGTGAGTTTTACACGGCATAATGCATGCAAATAATGCATGTGTCAGTTCCCTTTCGAAATCACTACCGACTTTCGGCTTGTGAGAGTAACGAGCAAAATACAGTAAAAAGAAGTCATTCGGGTCAACGTACCATTCGAGTTAGACTCCCAAGTCCTCCTATGCCTCGAATACCATACAGCAAACCAGCCTTCTCAGTTTTGTCAATTGTCACAATTTATTGAGCCAAAACACCAGGTTGTTTTCAAGGGTAGTGCAATAGTTGAATCAGGAAAATTACAGAAATGGCTTTGATTTATACCGTTATACCCTGCTAGGATTCTCACAACTGCCATTTCTGCGCTTGGCCAAAAAAGGAAAAAATAGCAAGCACAAGTACCCCGAGTAATTGATGGAATGAAGGCGATCATGTCCGTAAAAGATGCACACATGATTATTGACACAAAAGCTGCTACTAGCGTACCTTAACTACTACTCCTGCGCGTCGAAGAGGATTTATATATTACCTAACGGTTAAAAGCAGATGCCACAATGAATCATTTGTCCTAAAAATACACCAAAAAGTTCCGTGGGCGTTCAAAACGCGCCGCAAGATATACATAAGTACCAAGGAATTGGGCTAAAATGACAACGAATGATCAGCACATACAACACTAGTGCCACACTGGAAAAACGTCGACACCTTACTCTACAAAAGACACGTTCTATCCTATGCCAAATGGGCCTAGCTTACAACGCCAACCCAATAGCGTTATCAGTCCGATGTACCATTCGATCACACTATGCCATGGCAATGAGTACGTCACCAATAGGTGCAGCAAAACGCGAGACATGGCACAAGCGACGGTCTTCCTGAATGTCCAAGACATACATAATGAAGCTGTGGACACAACTGATGTTTTCCGCCGATGACCAAGTGACAGGCGACTTCAAGCATCATTTCAAGCAGATGAACGATGACCAAGCAGCAGGGTTTCACAATCTGTAACGAAAAAACAGCAATGAGCACAAAAGAGGGGTCTAAATATCAACTTCATATACTTTATCAGGAAAACTTTGTTAAAACATTTTGTCTTGTCTGAGAAGCGAGACTAGCAAAGCCTTAACTTCAAAGCTAACATCAGTGTCAAGTTGGATGAAAATGATTTAGGAAGCAAAGAGATATGTAACAATAACGTAGCGCCCGAGCGTGGCAATATAAATAATATGAATATCGTAACAAAGGTAACGTCATCAATTAACAGAAAATCAATTCCAAAACCATGTAGCAACACCAGTTAATGCCACATAAGCCCATCTACTCCCCAAAACCTACTAACCTCGCGAACTCCACCATCTCCACTCTTCACTGATCAGTCGGATAGTAGTACATCTGCGGCTGGTTCCTCGGCTTTGTCGGCACGATCCTTCGCACCTGATCCAGCGACAGCGCATGAACATGCTCCAGATGTCTGCGCAGGTCCTTGACGGTGCCGAAGACTTTGTCGCACTTGGGGCACGCTGTCAGCCCCATGTGGACCTTCATGTGGCTGGAGAGGGATTCGCGATGTTTGTATTCTTTGAAGCAGATGTGGCAGACTTCTCGGCCCGGCTCTGTAATGATAGGGTGGCTGTGATGATGATGAGGCAAATGGTGGTAGTTGTGATAAGGAATTCATATAATTTGGGGTTTTCGACTTCAAATGTCGTAGGCTGCTACTGGATATAGTAAGATCTTGGATACCGTGTCAGATTCGATAAAGTATTACTGTTATAAGCGTCAGCAAAGGACTGGAGAAAAGACCCTAACAATTATCGCGGTGCAAGTGACGTGAAAAGTGTGACTTTTGATTTATGAACGTGTATTTATATTTTCATTGCAAAATCGGTCGAAGATAATGAAGAACAAAGGCAGATTTATTATACACCTTCGTTTGGCAAAATAATACAAAGGAAACATCATTCGAACCATTGAGACAAAACTAATACAGCCATGGAAACACAGATGCCTTGTAACACCTGGGAGAAAATCTTAAGTTCCATCTAATGCATAGCACAAGTCACTATCAGCATAGGAGAATCATGCACACGAGTCTTTGCTAGACGTTTAGCAAACACAAAAAGTACCAGCAACATTCAGCTGGTTTCACAAATATAAACCACCTACACATCGTCTACACAGCTAGGCAAACATTCTACACTTCCTACCGGATATATCTACGACACGTACCTAAGAGTGAATGAAACACTAGAAAATCAGACACGAAAACAGATCTATAAAAGTCGGCTACTAGTCAAATAGCTAAAATCCGAAAATGTGCGTCATTTCCCTTCGAAAACCCCGGCGCACTTCTCAGCGCTTGTCTATTCATGAAAAGCGCACTTCTCCTACAGTGACGTGGCGGAGCAAGCCACCTCATGGTATACACCTTTCACACGCCAAACCTGACAGAAATGCCAAAACTCGCCCCTGTTCGTTAAACTCGATAGCTGAACTCCATGCTCTGCGCAACACACTGCTGCAATTAATCATGAGGTCCAGCCCCCCCCCCCCACGCACTTAACCATATGACCATCACTCTACTCCACTTTTTCGACCACCACTCGCATGCCTTCTATCACACCACTACAAGCCCTCATGCTCATGTTAATCGTCACCAAATGTGGTTGTGTGATTGTTGCCGTTGAGATTATTCACTTCGATGATGATGATTTGGAGTGTCAGGGCGCGCCAGCAACGGGTATCGCGCCCGATGTTATTTACTTCACCTGAGAGTACTTTTATCCACCAACGTCACTGGTCAAGCTCGACACTTGGCAAGCAGCAGAGCATAGTCACGACACCTATGTATCTACTATCTACTGTAAGTCAATCCACTGACGTGTCTCCACTGATGTGTGCAATGATGTGTCCCATCCACTTAAGGACACCCAGAATGCAGATGACATCAGCGTGGTATGCCCATTGATGTATCCACTGATGTTTCCACCTGATGTATTCGCTGATGCACCTTCACTGCTGCGCCTTAGTTTTGCTGCGGACTCGGATAGTACACAGCGGCCGGTGCATATTTCTGCTTCGTCGGTATAATTCCCCTAACTTCCGCTTGTGTCATCGAATGGGCATTCTCCATGTGCTTGCGAAGATCCTTGACTGTACAGCAGACTTTCTCACATCTGGGACAGGTAGTCATACCCTGGTGGACCTTCATGTGACTCAGGAGAGAGACGCGATGTTTGTACTCTCGGAAGCAGATGTTGCACTTGTTCGGGTAACCACCTGGAACGAAGACAAGATACAATGAAGATTAACAGTCAGGAGTTTGGCTTGTTCTCACGTAGCACATTCGCTGCGAGCGCGAGCGGTCGGGAGAGGGAATAATGGGCTAGTGAGCGTTACGGGGAATGGTGAGAGTGAGGTTCGTTCGCTTACCTTAGTTGGTCGATGTCTCATTACTGACGGCGCAGAAAATGTCGAAGCATGGCTAAATATTTTTTTTTAGAAGTCCCACAGATAATCAATTCAGCGATAGGCAGGAAATTGGCATTTGTGATTTTTCTGTGATTTGTGATGGTGCTGAGGGTAAGATGTTTGCAACAATCGCGCTACGGTTAAAGTTGAGTATTTCAAAGTAACAATGTAACTGTTAGGCGCGGCTCCTGGCGCAACACCAAACGCCTCAGAAACATGTCTATACCTAATCAGGCAGAACACCTACATTTGTACCTTATTTAACACCAATACGAAAATGGCTCCTTTATTAAAAAAAACGACATTCTTCGCATTCAACGAACGTTCAACGCAAAAGTTAAAGCTCAATCAGAACAGTAAAAGCTACAGACAAATAGAACAACTTGCAAAGCGTATAAATCACAATGTTCACTTCAATGTTCAAACACTTCAAGACAAAGGGAGTTAGAATTGCCAACAACATATGACAAAGAAAAAACTAGATTCGCCATTTGGTAGGCCAATGTCACCACAGGCAGCAAACGCGACATTTAGGATCCTGTCTCCTCATAAAACTTTTAAGTACAAAAATTGTGAAATCGGAGAAACTCGTTGCCACAAGAACGTGCATAACAGGATTTGTATCAAATCGCAACGAATTTACAAATAACCGAGAATGAAACTCGTCACACCGAAATTGAACTAAACACTAAAACTGCAAACCTTCCACATGCATACTATAAACGAAGTGACTTATCGCCACAGTGCCGCGTTCACTATGGCTCACAAGCCACACCCAACAGCGCAAAATTGATGACAAATATCCCTGACAGATGGTTGACTAATTCACAGGCCTGTGTATATCACATGTAGCCGAAGTTTAGTACTTTTCACAGCGTAGCATTCAGGAACCTGCGCACAAAAGAACACCACTGCCCGATGACAAGACCCGGCTCAGGGCTAACAATGCCCTTTGAAGAAGGCACACAAGAAGCCTGGTTACTCTCAACCAAGAATATTGAAAGCCCTTGGAGGATGACCAGTAACACACTTGACTAATGACAGCCAAGACCCTCGCCTAATTGCAAAAGAAAAAAAAAACTCTGGACTCTAGGATCCTAGACCCGTGAAAACTCAGATTGTGAGAACCAGGACCCTCAAGGCGCGCCAGTCTACCTACCACTAACTAGCCTACATACCAGCCTACAAGTCATGCCTTATTTACATCACAATCTCAAGCCTATGCGGATCACATATTTCCTCAGTAGCCTTCAAGGATCACCTACTTCCCCACTACTCTTTCCGTCCACCAGCCTCTGGTAAGAACTGCCCAGGCTTTATCCAAATCCTGCTGGTTATAACACACTCCACGTCGTGCTGCGCGATACCGATTCACTCTTCTGACTACCTTCGACGCGCCAGTTTCGCTACGAACCGCCTGAGCGTTCTCAGTCCAGCTTAGACCCGATCTAGATCCAACTCCTCTCGACGAACTGTGCACTCGCCCGCTAACGCAGTGAGCTCGCCAGTTCGGGTGCCTCTTGATGTGACGAAGCATCGAGTCTCGACGGGTGAAGTGTACACCGCAGATGGGGCACAGGATGGCTGGATCTGTCAGAAATGGAGAGATAAAGGAGATAATGTTAGGGATGGGGATAGTGGAGTGGGGAAGGTGGTCTTCTTGGGTTTGAATGGCGGTTGGCTGGGTGATTTATTTTGGGCCTTGGTGTTTGGGTTTGATTGTTTGGTTGGGTGGTTTTGGATTGGGTTACGATTGATCTCGGGTGAATAATTTGTTGATTGTCAATGGCGGGTTTAGTTACGCCCAGCTAAGCAGCCACGGTGTAACAAAAGTAGGAATAACAGCAATAACGTTAACACAGCATGTATTGTGTTCCGAGGATAGCATGATCCAATAAGGAAATGAGATAGTAAAAACTGAATGATGGAGACAATATTTGGGTCCAACGCGGTAAGGCAGAAAATAAGTCATTGCTCGTGCTTTTACAAGTTCACATTCTCAGACGTTCACCGAAATAAACATGATCTTCCAGTAATGCCAAGCGATGAACCCGAAACTTATTACAAAACTTGGTTAACATGAAACGTTCTAGAAATAATTCCGACACGCCGAAGAATGAAAGACAGGTACTGTAAAAAAATGAGGACCCTAAGCAATTCTGTATTTTTATTCGTTTTCATTATCAAGCCAAAAGAAAAAAATGGAAATCAGATGGATTAGTAACCTTTTGCTCATAACTAATGTAAGTAACTAATGTAATGCTCATAACTAATGTAACTAATGTATTTGGATTTGTTTTTGGCTTACATTAGTTATGAGCAAAAGGTTACTAATCCATCTGATTTCCATTATAATCATAATCATGCTCAAAAAAACGTTTCACACCATTCAATCAAAAGAAAAAAAAGGCTAATGCGATAGGGCGGTACAGTCAGCAAACCGACAATGAGAAAAATACTTCATACAAAAAAAAAATCAATCCATTGCCAACTGCAAAAGGCGCTGTTTTTAGCTTGACTCCAGTACAACAGCATACACACCTACTTAGAAGTAGGCAGGATCACGCCATCAGCAAACACTCAACAACGTCCACAACAAACGTGCGCTTCAAAAAACGGTTTCATTCCTTCTTCACCACGTTGCAAGCCTATCACATATGCCCCGCTTCGCGATCTCTGTTCTTCAAAACACTTAGATTTAGTTGCGCGAAGTAGTCAAATCGGTCTTCTTCGCCGCATCAGCTGTCAAACTCAGGCTTCTGCGCTTCAAACTTCGGTTTCTGTGCTTCATGTAAACAGCGCTTCACTTCACTTTCTACCTCCTCCATCTTTTACCACGTCTGACCCACGCTATGTTTTTGCCTCATATGTCGGTTCAGTTCACCCACCGTCCCAAAGTTCTTTTGACAATATCTGCACACTGTGAGTCCTTTGTGCATCTTGATATGAGCGTAGAGAGAATCCTTGTATTTGTAGGATCGGCCGCATTCTTGGCAGACGAAACGAGGCATGTCTGTGGAGGAGGAACGAATATCAGCCCCCGTGTGGTTATTCACGCAGAAAAGGCATTCGAGATGACGTAGAAAAGAGCGTAGTGGGTATGTGCTTAGAATAAGACGGTCATAAATGAACTAAGAAAGGTAAACAATAGTCATAGTGGCGATAGTAAATACGACGGAAAGTTTTTGATGTGGTGCATTGATGTTTCTAAGAGATTCGCCATAATGATGATGATGATGAATTGGGTCTGTTGATGACACAAAATCAGGTATATATTTCAAAATGCACAGACATGCGGCAAGCGCACGTTTTCGATAAAAAGCCTGCTTCACGGGGATAAGTCGATATGGCGTAGAACGGTAGGACCATCATTGCCAGTAAAGAACAAAAGTTAAGTTAAAAGTTTCAAACCCAGTGACATAATCAAGCAATATGACATGGACTTGTGGCGGCCGAGACGAAAAGATAAAAATGATATAATTATATTGAGACGGAAATAAAGAACATAACAGTTTAAGAGTAGGCCGCACACTGAACTAAAAACAATTTCTAGCATCGTCGTTGACTCGGTTTTCTGAGCTAAAAAGAAATATTGTTTTTCACGCGCGCAGCAACAATGACAAGAAAATAAACATGAATCAAATAAGGCGTGATAAAATAAGAACAAAGACCTCTAATAAAAGGAAGTAAGAACTCGCCACAGACTTACATTGAAAATCGACGAAAATCTGTCGAAGACGTTGCTGATTGGTACCATTCCACATATAGTTATATCTCGATACGCCATGCTGTGTGTAGGGGCCTGATGTGTCCAGGCATGACTGAATAGGCCACTATCATTGCGCTGCTAAGAAAACACAAATATCCCAATTTTGACCATATTTATTTACAGTAACACTGGCACAATTCCTAGAAACGAGAAGGTAAACAACTTTAAGGCGACGTTCATAAGCCGCGCTCAAATCTACGAGCCGAAGAGATCGGAGCTACATTGTGTATTGGGCGGATAACAAATTCTAGGCATCTCTCTGACATCGAAGGAGAACATGGGAAAGTGGGTATACGGGTAGGAACAGGAATATCAATGAAATGCCCCATCAAAGCCTGACATCAGTGCCGCGACCGGTGCCACACACCAATCATCGACACACATTCAGTCACGTTTTAGACAAAATAATCAGCTACATGAACTACACACAGAATCGGCGCCAACATGATCTCTGACGGTGTGAGACAATGCAATAAAAAAGCTGAGGATACAAACACGACACTGATGACAAGTGATGCAATGAAATACTCCCATTCAACGAGACGCCTTTTCCAAGAGTAAAACAGCAATGAAAGAAATGTCAAGCTAGTGGCATCCCTATCACTTATCCGAGCAGCCAATCTATGAGGATAATACAGATCGAGTGAAACACCACAGCCAGCTTCTAAATGTCTCACTCGATCGAGTATACCTACAATTTTCAGCATAATAACATCGATTCCATACATTGCCCAGTGGTTCACATAATATCCAACAAAGTGAAAGGCGGAAAAAGACATCAGAGGCAAATATGCGTTATGAAAATAACCCATTGTTGTTGTTAATTGGGGCTTTAGGGCGCGCCGACTACTTAGGTCATTTTGCGCCCATATAACCCAGACCATTTGACGACAAGTGGCTGACTTTTGACGCATTGTCACTGTAAGTATCCTACACGCATCATGCATCAAATGGTAGATACGAGTTCTAGGAATACATGTGTCCGAATATCTGCAACACTACTTTGTCTATCCATTCCGACCAACTCATCTACACCACTCGATTTAGGGGTCTCTCAATGCCTTCTTAGTCCGTTGCCATAAAAAACGTAGTCGTTCCATTCTTTCTCCATGCACGCTACCTCCGCATGTGGGTCCTCATTGATTGGCACCATTTCCCTTCAGACACAGAGCCACTTCATCCTCCTCAAGCCTGCTCCTCGCGTCCTTCCCCCGAAGACTCTTCTTTATCCTCTACGCTAGCATCGCCAGCTACTTGCTGCCATACTCGCATGGTTCCGAATGTCAGCACCTCTGGCGTCGGAACTCCCGGCGAAACGGAACCAGACGCCAGAGTACGAGGGGTGCCCATAGAATGAGTTTCAGAACCCACGGTGCGGGGAATGAGTGTACCCAAAGGTCTCCCCGACCCCAAAGTGCGCGCAATATGAGTAGTTGAAGGGGGAGTTCTGGACCCCATACCGCCATAGGTACTAGAAGACTGACTTCCAGACGCCAGAGAACCAGAAGCTAGATTCCCAAACCACACACTGCCGAGCGCTTGAGTGCCCGATGTTACACCTGACTTTGAAGCACCGGACGAAAAACCTCCAACCGCTGGAGAGCTTGCCGTTAGAGCGCTTAGCGTAACTTCGCTTGATATCTTTATCCCTGGCGTGACGCTCAACGCTGGAAATCCTGTCACCAGACTGTTTGAAGCCGGAAAACCCGCACCTAGACCACTCGACATCGGGAATCCTGACGTCAAACCACTCGGCGCCGAAGCGCCCGGAGCCAGACTCTCCGCTGGCACTGCATGCACATTAATCAGATGTCTCTTCAGATGATGCTTCATGCTGAAGACTCGTCCACACATGTAGCAGCCCGTCTCGCCCATGTGCTTCTTCATGTGCATGGCCAGGGAGGAGGAGGAGCTGTAGCGCTTGTCGCACAGGCTGCAAGAGAAGGCCAGAACGCCTGGAGGACGGGCGGCAGCGCGTTAGCGATGGTGATGATGATGGCTATGATGGTGGTTGCGTGATTCAAGGCGAAGTGTCGAGTGTTATATGGCAGCAGTGTGTTATTAGTAAGGGAATGGGTACGCGCACGGCGACGAGGATGGCATGAATGTATTATTATGCCGCAAGACCCTAAAGCAAGACCATAAATACTGAGCAAATTCGGTTCCATATGTGACAACTCCATATGTCCATATGTCCTGAGGCTTTGTCGCGCGCCTGACCCTAAATATATTCCATATAATTTCGGTCAAGGATGTAGTTTGGGCCATCATCAAAATAGCAAAATGCTTTGGGCATTTCGAACAGTTTGGATGAAGTCGAAATGCCAAGAAAAATGGGACCATAGAAATGTCACGCTACCTATGAACATAAAACACGTAAAAACAACCAAGCACGAACCTACAAAATGGCATTCCGTGTGAGAATATCCACGAAAAACTGGTTACTTGGTTCGAGACAACCAAAAAAGAACCATTTGCAAACAGAAACAGCAAAAAAGGAAATCACGCTTCAGCAGTTGTTTTGCATACCTTTATTTATACATGGACCTGATTCTCTTGTTAACCCGAAAATAATTACTTATGGTGTTATAGAAAACCGAGAACTTCCACCCGTAATCAATGCCTCCTGTTTTGGTGACATGTATTTTTGCTCATCACATGAACAATGAACATTGACAGCAAACAAAAATTATACTCCCGAACAAAATACGCACAGCATACAAACAAACACCATATCTAATTATATCAAGAAAAGGTTATGAGTCACAGCATGCAAGATTTCCAAACTTCTAACCCAGGCGAATACTAAAAACTCAATAGC